CAATCAGAAAACAAATAAAACCAAGATTAGGTGTACGTATTTTACAAATTGTGGTTTCTTAACTACCTTCTATAAGAAATTGTAAACCTGACCATTTTTGTTAGAATATGAATAGGAACATGAATAGTATATAGAATCCGACTTTGATAAAATTGTAATATAGTATCTATTAATAGGATCTGAGTGTAATGATATAGAGATGCAATTCAATAATATTTTTCTCCTATATATTTCACACGGTATCAGAGTTTGAGAATAAAAAAGCTTTCGCTGCTGGTGGGCAGCTATAACCCATACATGTTGCCCATCTAGCCAATGATTATGATAGCAAAAGTTGGGGCAATACTATATGCTGGAAGAAAAATCATGCTGAGAGGACTAACTTGAGAAGCATTTGGGACAAAGAAAGTAGTCACCTGCTTCTTCTCAGTGGCTTCTTAGATTTGATTTGTGTAGCACCGTGCATTTCTTTAGGGACTACTTTCTCATATCTAAATTGCATAGCATCGTGCATCTTTTCGGTGACTACTTTCTCATATCTGATTTGCATAGCACCATGCATCTTTCCGCTAACTAATTTATCATATCTGATACGCTTAGCGTTGTACATCTTTCTTTTAACTACTTTCTCATATCTGAGTTCTGTAGCACCGTATGTCTTTGACTCTTTATGGTGACTCATCAGATCTAATTTGCATAGTTCTGTGTCCTTTCGGTGACTCCTCAGATGGTAGTTACACTTTTCATTAGTGTTGTGCGGAAACTAACACTAAGAGTTACAATGTCTCCCTGCAACCAAACCATAACCGGTGTGCAAGCCTGATCTGGCCAGTTTTTTGGCGGCTTTCTTGTTCAAGGGTCTTCTCCTTTCTTGATTTCAAAAGGATTTGTATATTTTATACCAGATTTCAAGCACTTCCCGGCAATCGTTGCACTGTTTTCGGCAGATCTGAGTTTTCCAACAGTGTTCTCTTTGTTTCAGATTCATTTTATGAATTACTTTGACAGACAACAACAGAATTTTCTCCTCAATGGTATCTTGTAATGTATTTCAGTTTCGTGACTGAAATATTTGAAAAAGAAAGATGAATAACATGAAAAATAGTGATACTTCCTCTCCTGGAAGATCTGAGTTTTCCAATAGTGTTCTTCTCTTTCAGATTCATTCTTACTAAAGGGTTTACTAAGATATTTGGGCTGAATTAAAGTGATACTTTTCTCTCTCGTGGTTGAAATAACATTTCAGAAAGGTTTAGAGGTAAACTGTGACCTTTTTCTTTGGGGTTGTGACAGATCAGCTGGTCCGATCTGGGGTTCAGATAATTTAGCTGAAGAAAGTGCAGATAGTGCTTTGCTTTGCTGCATTCTGTAATGTCTGTGAAGTTATCTTACAGATTACTGTTTGCTGAAGCCTTATGCTCAATTGTCTCATGCCTTCTGCATTCCAGTGAGAACCAACATCTATAGATGTAAGAGCTGGTGTATTATGTGTGATACCTCTACAGATATGACTTGATGGACCTGGGATCTTCTTTTTGTCCTGGTCTACTGTATCTTTGATATAGTAATATCTGATTCATTCTGATCTAAATAAGCCACCCAGTGTCTGTACTTAACATACATTTGTACGGGTTCCCTGGTATTCAGAACTTCAATCATGAACTTTGTTAATTTCTGAGCAGAGTCGCTGGAAATAAAAAATAATTAGCAATTTCTGAGGACTGGTAATTCATACTGAAATTTAACTTTTGCTATCTCTACAGGATGGTAATAAGCCAATACATGTTGCAGCTACAACAGGCAATCGGGCAGCTGTTGAAGCTTTATTGGCCGTCACACCACAGATTCAGAGTGTTCCTGAATGGAGTGTGGATGGAGTCATTGAGTTTATGCAATCTGATTATAGGAGAAAACAGGTACTTAATCTGTCTTTCTGTAAGATAAATGGCTGTTGGTTTTCGTCTGCTGCCTGAACTCAGAGTTGGTTTTAGATATTGGTATTGGCTAGGTAAGCGACTATTTCCTTTCCTTCTCTCCTGCGAACTTCTGCATCCTTTTCATTGTCTAAACTGTGATAATAGCAGGGAAGTATAGAAGCTGGGGGAGAAGAAAACTATGGCGCTATTCTAAGATGTCTACGTACGAGGCTGGAGGATGAATTCAAGGGCTTGAAGCAAGAATGTATTATTCCAAAGAAAGATTTGCCTGAGGTCTGTTATTGGTGATCACTGTTTTCAATTTGTTGTCAAATTGTACATGAGTAGTATTTTTTAATTTGCCTTTTTGTATAATGTCAAGAAAGTGGAATATTATCACAGGCTTCGCTAGTTTTATCCTTGTGATAGTAATCATCTAACAGAAATGAATAAGCTTCTATAGTAAGGATAGTGCTGGCAATTCAGCCCATATTGATGAGATCAATTCATTTAACCCAGATTTATTGAGTAAATATGGGTTTTGGCCTATTTTGAATATCCATAAAAATATGGACAAAATGGGTATCCATATAGATTTAATAACACAATAACAGATCCCTCGGCCTCCAGACCACGCCAAAGACCAGTACCTCTCCCAAAAGTTACCATTTCTCAAGAAGCATAGTTGAGATGAAGAAGCAGAAAAATGTTTTTTTTCCTTCCCTTTTTTTAAAATCTTAAATACTTGAGTAAAATGATATGTAAATTATGATATGGAAGGGGAGGCTGTGTTGTTGGTTATCGTGCATGTATCTACTAACATTTGTTTGGTTAATATGCAGAATCAATCCTTTATTATGTAGGAAGACTAAATAGTTAAGCTTTAATATCAACTTGATAGGCATTTTTATTTTCAGAAAAGAAAAAGGAATTTGATTGAACTTCAGGTATCCAATAACAACAACAGCATGATTTGATAGCTAACAATTAGATAAATTTTAAAGCTTGGTGGAAACCAACATATATGGAATAGTTTTGGATCTTTGTAGTCTCCATAAGAAAGAAGTTTTACAATAGCAGAGACAGATTCAAAATTTTAATTAGATAAGACAGATTCTGTTTTTTTCTTTTTAACATATAAGTTCAAAACTTAATATATATATATATATATAATTTTTTATTTTTATTTTTTCAACATTATTTTTAGATATGTATAGATTTGTGAAGAATGGCAGTGAAGTCTGGTTTGCTGAAAGATTATCTCCATTGTTAAAACTTGTAAGACAGAGCATAGTGTTTTTCATTTGGGTGCTTTCTTTTCTCTTTTTAATTCCTTACTGGGTTTTGGTATGTGTGGGGTGGGGGGTGGGGATCTTGGATTTTTCTTTTCTTTTTTAAACCTCTTTTGTATTATTTCTTGCTCTTTGGGGTTGAAAAAATCTGCAAGATTCTTTAAGGTGTGAATTTTTTATTTTTTTAAAAAAAATTGTACCGATGAAATTTATACATTGGCTTTAGGATATTAAAGTGGGTTGAAACCTTTTTATTCAAGCCATATTGTACCCTTATTTATATGGATGGATTGCAATCCAATCCATTTTTGCTCAACTCCATATCCAATTTGCCACCTCTAAGTTAAGGGTAGTTATGGCACAAAAGTAAACTATTTCTGAAAATGGAACAAAGTGCGTATATATTTTACTTGTGTATATATTATCTTTTGTTCTTGCACTTTTTCTGGTTAATATGATAATACATCTTGTGAAACATGTAGACAACAAAATTGAATTTGCAAGTGCAAATATATGTAGTAAATAACATAATAAACACTGCATCTGGGGGCGTGAAATTAATGTCTTCAAGAAGTCCAATGAACAATGTTGTTGCTTATGGTGCTGACACAGTGATCCTAGGGCTTCAAAATGCATAAAGTTTATCTTATAGTCGTGAAATTATACCAACGATGTGGTTCCAGACTCCTGTTTCAGCTTCCTTCAAATTGCACTGAGTATCAATATCTTTTTATGCGTGTATGGATTAGCTCAGAACCTTGTGTTGGAGAAAAACAGTTTACCAGTTAGTGCTAAACATCTTGCATTGGCATAATTGATTGATTTGTAGGTGACTCCTGAAGCAAAGAAGAAAGCTGCAGACGCAAAGGCAAAGGGAGACGAGGCATTTAAGAGGAATGATTTACCTAGGGCTATAAATGCTTATACACAGGTACCTATTAGGCTTATTGGATTCCTCCTAAATTTCCAGCTCTACCCCTTCCCCAGTAGTTATCCTCTTCCTGATGCAGACTGATAAATAATGTGTGTGTATTGCTGGTACTCTGCAGGCAATCAATTTTGATCCAACTGATGGCACTCTGTTTTCCAATAGAAGTCTTTGTTGGCTCCGCCTGGGGCAAGGTGAATCTGCCTTGGTTGATGCCAAGGCCTGCTGAGGACTTGGACCAGATTGGGCAAAAGGTTGCTATCGGCATGGTGCAGCTCTACGTCTATTGCAGGCATGCCCTTCTTCTCGTGAAGACAAATATTTCTAATGTATTTCATTTTCAGAGGTTTGAAGAGGCAGCCAATGCTTTTTATGAGGGCGTACAGTAAGGAGCTCTTAACTGCTTTCAGGCATGCATGTTGAGACTTGAAGCTCTTCATTTAGCAAATGAGGGCGTACAGATCGACCCTGAAACTCAAATGCGTTCTGGATTCAAGTTTTTCTCATGGCTGTGAGGTACTAATATGATTGCAGGGAAGCTGTTGAGGCTGGTAGAGAATTTCGTGGCACGGGACAAGCATAAGTTAGAAAGCACATCAATTCTGTAGAAAGAACATTTTGATGTTTTGCCTGCCCTCTTGTTGCATCTTCAGCAATTTATACTCACTGTTTTTGTTAATCTCAACTTTGTCCTTCTGCGTTATTTTCCAAAATTTATTTCATTTGTTTTCATGCTTGGGGTTATGCATTTTCGTAATTTTATTTATAAAAAAGCAAAAAAGGAGAAATCATATAATGAAAGGATGATCGAATAAATAAATAAGAACAAAACGAATTTCTCATACAAGTAGTTTTATTAACAACAATGAGAACTTAATAGTAACAACCTACAAAGTTTTTTCCAAAAAAAAAAAATTGATTCGATTGCACGCCACCACCTGCACATGTTCAAACCCGTATCAGTCTCGCCCCAATGCCATCCCCAGATTTTGACATGTGAAAAGGAAATGCGCAAATGTCTCAGTGAGGGAAGGTCAAAGGTAGACCGATTAAGTGTTGAAGAGAAGTAATTAGATAAGTTATGTTCCATGTTCAGCTTTAATGAGGATATGACTTTATCTAAGAGAGTGTGAAGGTCGTTGATAAGGTTAGAAGATCGATAGTTAACAGAGTGTTGTCGTACTATTAGCTTGTTCATGTAATATTCGGTTAGGTGATAGTCTAGAGTAGCGTTTGTTGTTTAGGCAATTCATATAGTCTTTGACTTTTGATATATGTTATGTGTAATGTTTAGGTGATCACACTTTGTTGGTGACGTTACAATCATTGAATATTTTTAAAAGTGTTGTTTTTCCTTTCCGGTACTACTTTGATTTGTTTCACCTTGATTAGCAAAAAGAATGCATGTATTAACTCCTTGTTTGGTACACTTTTTTTATGCTATACTCTATCGTGTATTCAGGAGTGTACTACTAATACCATTGATTTCTACGTATTAGTAATGCATATATTTGCGTGGTTAAAGACTCAATTATCAAAAAAAAAAACACTTTTATGGAGGATATTTTATACCATTGTAATGCTTTTCCCTGGAGTTTTTGTCATTTTGTGTAACAAACAAACTGCAAAACCGTCGGTCCGTTTTTTCCCCCGTGTTTGAGTTGGTTAGTTTCTGCAAAAAATTCTTCAGTTATGGAAATGGAATACGAAATCGTATGTTTTGATTCATTCTTCCACTTACCTGCTCCTCTCACTGAAGGTTTCGATTCATTCTTCCATTTCTTTTTCCTTTCTTCAAATACTGTAATGGTATTGAATCTTGCAATTGTTTTGAGTAGCTCAAAAACAGGTTTTGGCGTTTCTGGAGTCTGCTTGTGCAGGGGATGTTGAGCTTTTCAAGAGTAGGTTTTTCAATTGAAAACACTATTTTTCCTGTTTTTTTTTTTTTTAATTTTGATGATTATATTGTGAAACACAGAATTGGCAAAGGGACTGGATCATGATGGGAAAGGGTTGGCCGCTACGGTGGCGGGTGTAAAGGATGCTCAGAAAAGAGGGTCATTGCACTTTGCCGCTGGGGAAGGTAAAATTGACTTGTGCAAGTACTTGGTAGATGATTTGAAGATGGATGTCAATGAAAGAGATAAAGAAGGTATTCACTTTATATTCTAGTTTATTGTTTTCTAATGATGGGTGAGTTGCAAGTTTTGAATAATGTGTATATTTTGTATTGGAAACTATTTTTTGTTTAAGTTTAGTTTTTCAACATTGTGACAATTGGAAGGCAAGTTCTAGGGAGTAGCTGTGAGACCAGCAACATTATATGGGAATGAATATTGAACTTATGATGTGCTGGCTTGTCAACAAAATGAATGTCTTAAAAATGCCGACGCTAAATCAATGTGCAACCATACAAGATTCTAATAAAATTAGAAATAATAACATTATGCAAGTAGTACACATGTGAGAAGGACTTCGGTTATGGTTTGGTTGTGTCCTATGCAGGCCTCCAAATGCACCTATGTAGGTGTGACAATTATGATAATTGAAGGTGCTAAAAAAGGGACAAGGTAAAGCTAAAATAACAAGGGAGAGAGGTCATCTAAATCGATCTTAAATCTTTAAGAATCAACACGGACTTGGCTAGCATACGAAACAATAGATGCAAATGATACACATAGGTGATACTAATTCATGGTGATCAAGGCTTAGTTGTATATTTACATTAAGTCTTGGTAGGACAAGCATATGAATTTTGGGAACCTCAAGTTCTTTAAAACCCTTAATTTGCTTTGAAAGACAATTTGTTCGCCAATATAGGAATGGTAGACTCAAATACAGCAGAATATATGGAGGATTCATTTTACAGATTCTAACTTGTTTGGGATTGAAGCTCTTGTTGATTGATTGATATGAGCTGAAAGTGATATTGCTCTTAATATATATTATTTCTTCGTAGGTGAGACTCCTGTTCTTAATGCTGCTAGGCACGGCCACACTGCTACTGTCCAGTACCTCATAGATAAGGGTGCAGAACCTGCAATACTCAGCACCTCAGGGGCAGCTTTGCATAATGCTGCAAGAAATGGTAGGTTTTTCCTCTTCATCAGGGAAAGAGTCCTGGGTTCATATACATTTAATTACTTTAACCTAGCTCTTGTACAGTTTAGGACAAAACATATAATATATTGGGGCTAAGCTCTGTGGCTTTTAGCCATCCATTGTGAGGAGAAAATGGAAGAACTGATCAAAAGTTACAGCAGATTATCTGAGGGCAGTTGTAAAACCTAAGCAAATCAAGGGAGGAAGAGACCAACATTAACTCTGGAAAGGCAATGCTTCAAGACTTGGATATTATATTCATGCAATGTGTTATAAAGAAGGTTCTTACTGGTTTCTCTTCAACAGTTCTCCAAAAAGTGTACTTCAAAATGGTTTTTCGTCGGTAAACAACATGAAATCCACTAGAATCTGTAGAATTTGTGATTTGAGCAAGTTTTGGAGAGTAAGAACTAAAACCATGATGAATGATCAAAGTTCTTATCTTAAGCAAATAAACGCAGAAAAGGTAACCAAATAAGGTTATAATTAGCAGTAAGAAGCAGAGATGGATAGGGTGGGATGGGGTCTGTTTTCTATTTGCTGCATTGTTTTCAGGTGACTTTTCTACTTTCAGCTGTTGAAAACCTAACTTTGGCTTCTGTTTTGCTGGAAATGTTATGCTAAATTGTCAAACTAAATTTGTAGAGACTTGAATTCCCTGAACATTTGGTCTTTCTTGCTTCATTCGTCTTTTCTTTCTGACGATGCTATATCTTATTTTTCCTCAATCAATGACTTGAAATGACCCTAGATTACTAGAGCTTCAAAGAACTGTAATGCAAATATGTATTCTGCTATTGTAATTTAAGCAGGATTGGATGATCATGTCAATAAAAATGTAGTAAGAAAGCTGACTGATTTTCATTCAAGTTAGAATGTAGTCAAAATTTCTGTGTCTCCTTTTTTTGTTTGTCTCTACTGATAAAATCGTATCATGAACATGAAGAAGATCCATCTAAGTTAACTCGATGACAAAAGAATGGTGGAAGACCATCCTAACATGCATTTGGTGGGCCATATGGAAGAAAGGAAAGCTAGATGTTTCGAAGGGCAGTGCCCCATAGATTTTTTTTTTCATTAGAGTGCTTCCATAGCTACTTCATTCTCAGTGCCTTACTCTTCCAAGTAATATGAATGTGAATGCGGTATAATGAACATAAGCACATGAAAGAAACACCACAAGTGAAAATTTATTTGCAGGTTTATTTTTCTTTGCTGATACATAATCTGAATTGAGAATCTAATCATGTTCTAATGGATATCAGTGGTTGAGATCTTAGTGTCGGCTTTTAATTCTTTATTGGTAAAGCAATGAGAGAAATCAATCAACATGTCACGCTTTATTCCTATATTATTATTTATAATGGTGTCCTGCATACACATGTGTGTGGCTACATGCATTTTTCTATTTATCATCCTTCTTTACATAGAATGACATTTTATTATTCATTATCTTTTTTCTGCAGGACATATTGAATTGGTTAAATTCTTTCTGTCGATAGGTGTAGACATTGATTTGCAAAGTGATGTTGGCACACCACTTATGTGGGCTGTAGGTCACAGACAGAAAGATGTTGTTAAGGTTTTGCTGGCCAATGTGAGTGCTTTGTTACCTATTAAACCCCTCTTTTCTCGAATCAAAATTACCAGTCATTGTTTAACAATTCTCTCTAGACAAAGTGGAAAGCAGTTGTGTGGTTCAAGTGTTCCCTATCTAATAACTTAAAGCTTCCTAGAGGGTTACTCAGTTAATCGTTGTTTCATAACATCACCATCATCCTTATTAAAAAAAAGATTCATCCTATTCAGCAACTTAAGGTTTTTTCTTTTAGACGAAGTGGTTCCACAACCAAACAAGGTCCTTACACACTTTTGTTGCGCTGGTGTATTCAAACTCTTAGTTCATGTAATTTCTTCCCTTTGCCAAACAGTGCAGAGTTCTGTCTCCCAGCCTGTACATGCTTCTTTTCTCACCCCACCCACCTTCCCTCTTACTTTTACTGTTTTTGGTATGTATTGACTTCATCTTTTTCTTAATGCTTTTCAGTTTCAAAATAGTTGTTTGTTAGTGTTTGTTTTGCGAAAAAGAAGTTAGCTTAGATATAGTATATAAATTAACTTTTCATTGGTTACTCGACTTATATTTTTTCTTTAACTTAAGATGATTTTCTCAGCTTTTTTTACATTTGCATTTCTTACTCGTTAGAGAGGGCACATTTTGATAATGTGTGGAAAAAGTCAAGTTTTTCTGGGTTGTATTTTTTTCTCACTTTGATGCATTTTTCTGTACTGTTTTGAGGATGGGTTTGCAGAAGGGGGTGGAGGTGGGGGCAGGGCGAAAATACTCTTTTAGGAAGTGTTATTTTCATTTGTTATATATGGGTTTAAAAAAGTTACTTTGTGCAGTTTAATCAAGTAGGAGATGATGGTATGTCTCCTCTGCAAGCAGCTGTGGCAGTCGATTCTTTTCCTTGCGTGGAACTGTTGGTAAAGGTTAATAAAATTCCATTTTCTCCTTAAAACTGTATATATGCATTAGATTGTTCTACTCTTTCACTGTATGTACTTTAAATTGCTGAATCCAATTGAGCATCCCCAAGAAGTTGTGTTGCAGAAAACATATGGTGCTGTTGTTTGATGCATTATCATTCTGCCTTTGCTATGTTTTGGAACCATGAAAAATTTGTGCTAGATCAAATCACAAGAAACTGCTCTGATCATTCGGGAGCCATGTGAACTTGATTCTGTTAGAGCTTTAATGGAACTCACAATTTTATTTTTTTGGTAATAAACAATAGTATCAACCAGCTACCAGACCAAAAAACTTGCTATTGTCGACTAGCCTATAATACCAACAAAAAGAATCCTCTATGGATAGAAGTTTAGCTGCTCGAATCTTTGTACTAGTCTGCTCTTTCGTTATGCTCCTTATAGTAGCCTCCCAGTGACTTTCTTTTGTTGCTGGAAGATCCTATAGTTTCTTTCGAACTGCAAGTGTCATACTATAAACTTCTGTAAAATTGCTTCTTCCTCTAGCATGCGCAGTAGCCCGTTGTAATTACTGAGGCCGTCATCCTCCATGTTGCATATATTTCATTGATTATCTTTCAATTTTCTCTTTTTTTGTTTCTGAGGTGTAGGAGAGGGTTTGCTTTAGGAGCTTTATGTATGGAATTCACCAAAGCTTGAGGCATGTCAGAAACTGTTTTTAGAAAGATATTTCACCAGATATTGGTGTATTCCTGGTATTCAACAAGCTCTTCTAGGATAAAACTAAGAGTCAGAAACTAACAAGATTCTTTTAAGATAAAATCATAATAGAATATAGAATGAAAGATTTCTCTTAGAAATAGATTGATCTCATCATCATCTGTCAACTTAAGGCTTGACTTCTTTTGTGCTACCAGGCAGGGGCTAATGTCAATGTTATGACTGGCGAAGGAATGTGGTGTGGTGAAATGACTCCTTTGCTCGTTGCTGCTCGTAAAGGCAATGCAGAAAGTGTTAAATGCTTATTACAAGCTGGAGCTGATCCTAATTTCACTGATCAGGTAATTGAAAAGAAAATCTAACATAAAAAATCTAATTTCTTTGTTGTTTGAATATATTTTGGAAGAAATTTCCAAGGAATTTTACTTCTTTCAATTGTTGGAAAGATGATTCCAAACAATTTTAAGTTTTATTTTCGTGTGTTCTGTTTATTGAATCGTAAACACACAACTTCAATCAATGAACTTCTGTAAATTTCTGAGCAAAGTCGCGGAAAAAAGTCAATTAGCAATTTTTGAGGACAGTTAATTGATATCGAAAAATAACTTTTGGTATCTCTACAGGATGGTTACAAGCCAATACATTATGCAGCTAGAAGTGACAGTCGGGAGTGTGTTGAAGCTCTATTGACCGTCACATCAGATACTTGGGGTGTTTGCGAATGGACTGTGGATGGAGTTATTGAATTTATGAAATCTGAACAGGTACTTAATTTGTCTTTCTGTGAGATGATTGCTGCTGGTTTTATATATTGGTGACTATTTCCTTTCCTTCTCTCCTGCAAACTTCTGCTTTGTTTTCATTGTCTAAACTGTGATAATAGCAGGGATTAACAGAAGCTGGCAGGCAAGCAAACAAGCGCCCTAAGAAAGATTTACCGGAGGTCTGTTACTAGTGGTCAATGTTTTCGATTTTATGTGCTAAATATATATCTTGAATCGGCATGATTGATTCGTTTATAGCTGAGTCCTGAAGCAAAGAAAAAAGCTGCAGATGCAAAGGCTAAGGGAGACGAGGCATTTGACAGGAAGGATTTTGCTGCGGCTAAAGATGCTTATACACTGGTTACCTATAAGGCTTATTGAATTCTTCCTGTATTCCCAACTCCACCCCTTCCACAGTAAAATACCTGCAAAAGGGAAAAATAAAGAAGATAATGATGAGATGAAGTAGTTGTCCTCTTAATGGTGCAAGTAATTAATAATGTGTATGCTTTAGTTACTGAGCTCACTTTGTGTTTGCTGATACTCTGCAGGCAATCAGTTATGATCCAACTGATGGCACTCTGTTTTCCGGTAGAAGTGATTGTTGGTTCCACCTGGGGCAAGGTGAATCTGCCTTAACTGATGCCAAGGCCTGCAAAAGACTTGGACAAGATTTGGCAAAGGCTTATTATCGGGAAGGTGCAGCTCTACGTCTATAGAAGGCATGCCCCCCTTCCTCTCCTGGCATCAAATTTTGCCAACTTATATACCTATGTGTTCTGATATTCTAATATTTCATTCTCAGAGGTTTGAAGAGGCAGCCAATGCTTTCTATAGGGGCATCCAGATCGACCCTAATGATGAGCTCATAACAGCTTTACAGTATGCTTGTTGAGACTCTAAGTTGTTTTGTTTAGCAACTGGAGATGATATATATCTCTAGCATCAAAGAACCTTATTCTAATGCAGTAGTTTCTATATGATTGCAGGGATGCTGTTGCTGAGAGGGATGCTGAGACTGCTAAAGAAATTCACGACATGGGACTAGAATTAAGTTGTGTCCTACAAGAGTTAGGAAGCACATAAGGACAGAACCAAGTAGCCACTTCTTTTGCCCTTTTCTTTGGTAGTTGTATTTTGATGGTTTGCTCTCTAGTGATTTGTTCTGCTGCAATTTATAGACTTACTATTTTTGTTAATCTCAACTTTTCCCTCTTGCCTAATTTTTCAAAATTTATTTTGTTTATTTTTTCTAATCGGTGGACCATACTTGGGGTTATATTATTAAGTACAGAACTTCTAAAAATTATCTGTAAAATATTTAAGATGTACACTCTAAACAGAAAGGTAAAGATGAGCAAAATAATATAGCACAACTATTCGTAACTATTCAATACAGAAGATTGTTATTGCAACAAGTGAAAACATTTATGCAGGGAAAAATTAAATGTATAAAATACAGCCACAGGAGCTATAACGACAGTTAAAATAGTCTTCGAATACAGCAACGTAATGTCAGGGGAATTATATTTCATTTGGACATTAACACTTTTCACAAGCTCAACACAAACGGAGCAGGATTTGAACAAGGTTACCTTAATGTCAAGTAGCAGATTGATGATTGTTGTGACAATGTGAATATTCCTCTGCTATCTGCAGTCGAACAAGATACTGGCAACCTGTACAGTATGACATCTGATTGTGCAAAACTAAAGATCACTGACAGATTTTAGAGAATATGATACATGCTTGAACATAGAAACAACAGCTAGTGTAACTGCGAAAAGTTTAGGTGCACAGAGTGATGACTTGTCAAACGTGAGACAATATCTAACTTAAGACTTCAATGATCCTTAATGAAAAAGATCCATTCTTCATGAAAATTCATTCCTGCAAACTAGGACTTACTTCAAAAGAGATATTAAAGCAGATTATCAGGAAAACTGGAACAATCTGCAACTTGCAATTCATCGAACAAGTTGTTAGGAAAATGTCAGAAGGCACTGGCAACCAAAATAGCTACTGAAGAGTCATGATACTGATAGAGAGTCCTGGAAACGAGGTCTGCTATCACCAGACAGTACCAAAAGAGATAAAAGAAATCAGTACAGTACCACCAGTACGATCACCGAAAATAAGCAAAGTATGAATGGAACAGTCACCAGAATTAGGAAGGTTGCTGCCGGAATTGTCAGGTAAGATAATAAAAAGAAACAAAAAGGTTCAATCGGACGGACAACTGACATAACACCTTCCCGGTAAAGCATACGCTAGAGCCTTCAACTAAATCCAGATCGCACTGCCAGGCCCATTCGAGGTGGCGCTCCCAAGAAATCCTCCATACCCAGGGCTCAAAACCGAGGCCTCTGGTAGTATTGATTTGATAAAGCCACGCGGACATTAACGCTCTACATTTTAGTATATTCTCAGAAAAACATTCAATTCAATTCAGTATCTCGCTTTGAGTATATCATTGTTCTTCCTCTTTAGTCTTGTCTCTCAATTGGATAGAACTAAGCAGATATTTGATCATGTCAACCAACGTAGTATACATGAAGTAAATGTTCTTTCTGAGGAATTATACATCAATTAAACATGACATTAAGGTACAAATCAAGAACGTAACAGAAGATGATAACTTTTATAAAATTGCCCTCTTCCAAACTGATATCCTCAGAATATGGAGTATCAAAAAAAAAAATTTGTGGCTAGACATTGGTACTTGCTTTGACACACCAAAGTTCAGATGTAATTCAGGTAAAAACATGAATATATATGTAATTGGTCTTCCCTTGATCATGGGACATACATATGCACTGTCATATTAGCATAAACAGCAAAAGGATTAGATTTCTTTCTTAAAGTAATAGTAAGTCAGCTACCTCCAAGCGTGATTAGCTTAAACACAAAGTTACAAAGAAAGAAGGTTAACAACACTTGAGAATGCTACCGTAACAAGAAATTTCCCTAGTTTGTTGTATATGCCTTGGAAATTTCAGCTATAAGCTATCAGCTCTATAATTTTTTTGACAAGGATCTGTTAAAAGGAAACAGTAGCATGTTAAAAAATAAATCCAGTTAAAGTTGCTAACTCCAATGACAACCAGATTTTATCTACGTGATCACACAGCCATGAGAAAGAGCGATTCCACCTTACTCCTTTGAAGGTTATGCATGAGCCTTCATAGCTGAATTCCAGCACTGGAATCGCTCTGATAGGTGTTAACAGTTACGGAAGAACACTACTTATAATACATTGCTGGCAAGCGGAACGAAAAAGGGCAAGAGAAAAAGAGAGATAAGGAACAAAATATCAGAAACAAAGTAAAAGGCAAAACAATTCATCTATTGTATAGCAAATCACACACCTAACTCTGCAAACACAATGCCAACTGGTACAACATTAAGCTACTAGATTAGATTATGAACTAGCTATGCATAAATGAACAGTAAGATAAAAGCCTGAGAAATTCAAACAGATGGAAAGATGGATAACGATGTGAACATGAAGCAACAAGGAGCTGAGATAACAGCTTGAGAAGAGGGTAAAACTAGAGATCATGCTTTTTTGCATTCACAATTGCTGATTTTATTCATCCAAACAACAGAACACTTGGAACCAAATAAATGAAAAAATGTGACTCTTTTCTTACGGATAGGCAATAAAAAAATTGTACAAATTGACCTAAAGATTACTTAATGAATACATAGATTCAGCAAAAACTAGCCAAATTTTTAATTGATTACAATGGCAGCACTTTGATCGACCCTCATTTGCATCATAATCAAATCAAAGTAACAATCCCAATTCATAGCCCCTATCCTACTTAAACTCGAAAACAGTGTTGAGGCAAAAAGAATCACCTTTAACGATCTTTAGGCAGACAGACACCTCGAAGCAACAAATCTGCTCTAAAATTAGAAATGTTCACCCAAACTCAGCCCAGAAATAAGCCAAATTATCAACAAAAGATCTCCAGCATTTCGCCAATGAAATCCAAGAACAATTAACAAAATCTGTTCTTTCAAATTACCCACATAATTTGAAGATGCAACAAATCAAAAATCCACTACCTATAACTAGGCCTGATTTGTTCCTCACTGACAACCGAAAGCAACCCACCTTCCGCAGCCTCATTCTCATCCAAGAACAAATCCTCAGTTCCCCTTAACGCCCCATGGATTCCCAAAACGAAAAACCCAATAATCAAAGCAACCAAAACATTGAGACCCACGTGAGTAAGCGCCAAGGCAACAACAGTAACCAACCCTAACCCAACCAAAACAAGCCGATCATCCAATTGGGTTCCCGAAATCACAATCGCTTCTTCACGGAAATAGTAAAACCAAGCTACAGAAATAGCCAAGAAGACAATCATAGAGATAGGGTGGTAGACAAGGCTGATGAATAGAATAACAAGGATTATCATAGCGTAATTGACACGGAAATAATTAAGGTTCCTCCTCACCCGGGTAATCGCTTCAGAATAGTTATACGGAAGAGACATAATGTTGTAGTCAAAGAACACACGCCATGAACGACGTGTTGCCGGGTCGGATCTAGTGACCGTCGACGTCCGCACCGGCGGTTGTGGTTGTGGTTGTGGTGGTCGTGGTAACGGTGGACGAGGTGGTTTTCTTGCGGAATGAGGTGTGGTTTGTGGTGATGCTGGTGGGGTTGAAGTTGGAAGGGTACCATAATTGGACAAATTTGCAGAAATTGCCATGAATTAGTATTGGAGGGGAGAAGAAGGATTCAGATGATCAATGTTAGATTCAGATTATTCTCCTCCTTGTTCATTAATTTCTTCTCCCCTTTTATACCTTTAAGAAATTGGAAGCTTCAACAATGGAGGTGGAAGACAGCTTGAGAGAATGAATTGTCCTCCTGCTTTATAACCATGACAGCCATGACCATGACTACGGCCAACATGTACCAACTGATGTCCATCATTAATTTGTCACTTGGATCACTAATTAGTTCTATGTTTCAAAAAAGAATTTATTTATTTTCCTATCAACTCACGCTATTCAAAAGTCATTTTTATTTTTTTAATAATTGAATCGCCACAAAGTAAATTATAGTCGAAATACATGATAATAATAATAAGATTTATTTCATTAATCGTGAAGGATATACAAAATACATGTAGAACTTTTATATATGAGTAGTATTAAAAGTTAGCTCGATTTCTTTTACTAACTTTAAGATAGTACGTACTATGAAATCAATTTAGATCGTGATTTATTATTTTATTATAGTAATGATGATATATGACACTTTTTTTAAGTTTAGCAGTTGACAAATTCATAGTTAACATTAAGGTTTCCCCTCTGATAGCCCAATCCATTAGTGTCCAATCGGTTGAAAACGTTTACATCCAAATCAAGCCCTCCATTTCTGCATTGATCTACTATTCTCACTGTTTCTTGTGTTCCTGTTCCTGTGTTGGTCACCTGTAGTAGTCATTTCGAAGATCGAAAATATTATATACAAAATATAATTAGCATCAATTTTTGAAAAAACACTTGTATAGACTATAAGATAGCGTAAAATTAAGCATTACCCTCAAGCATCTACCGCATGAAGCTTGGCCCGTAGGTCCAGCTGGACCGCAAAAAGCGGTCCAGCCATACCTCCGGCGCCACTCCAGAGGCTTGTCAGCATCCCAGGTAGCGCAGTAAACGCTAGCAGTTCTTAAATCCCAGTTTATGTTTTGCGGATTGTACAAATGATACGTTGCCCTAACGTTCGTAGCGCTTTGCGCTGCGGCCACCGCCATCATCATGTTGATGACAAAAAATGCTACACACAACTTGTTAACTCTCTCCATAAATATTGTAATTTTTTAATTTCTTGTGAGGTTTATGTGAAATGGTGAAGGATAAATAGGTGTTATTTATAGGGACACTAGCTAGTTAAATTAGTGTGGAAAAATAATAGACATAACATTGGAAAAGTCATTGCTATTAATTTCATGTAGGAGTTGTGAAAGACTGGAACTCTCAATGACTCATATTCTCTAAATTAATTTTCCATTTCTAAATTAATCATGAAGATGTACAATTAATTGAAACTTTGAAAAGAAAAGAAAAAAGGCTTTAATATATATCAATTTGACCGATTCAATATGAGTTATGGACTTATACTAATTAGACATGTGGAAAACAAAATGAAATTTAAGAAATTAAATCCATGAATTGCGCAAATTTTACTATTCAATATATTCATG